CGCGCTTGGTAGCATCCTCAGAGTCTAAATAGAGACCGGTCACAACTCTATAGACTTTCTGTTGGATCAACACGCATTTGATTTTCTGTTTCCAGATATCAAAATCTGTCTTTCCGTTAAATGGAAGCATGCCATATTGATTGACAGCCATATTAACCGGAAAGCAAGCACAGCACGCAAGAGAGTAAATAAAAAAAATTTATCAGGCTGTCAACCGGTACGAAGCAACTAGCACGAACAAGCCGAGAAGACCAATGAACACAAAACTCGAGTACAATCTCCTTGTTCTTTCGTACCGTACGAAGCAACTAGCACGAACAAGCCGAGAAGACCAATGAACACAAGGCTCGGGTACAATCTCCTTGTTCTTTCGTACAAGCACAGAAATTTTTTTTATTTAATCAACAGACAGATAAATGATTAATTATAACCTATAGGGCTATCAATTGTACGAAGCAACTAGCACGAACAAGCCGAGAAGACCAATGAACACAAAGCTCGGGTACAATCTCCTTGTTCTTTCGTACAAGCGCAAATAGGCTAGAATTAAATCAACAAACAAAGAGACGGGATTTAAAACTAATCCGGACAGAAATATTTCCAACTTCGGACAACAAGTATCCAAACTAATATTCTTAACCGGAGAGTTTATCCACAAATCAATCAACAGAAAAAATCAAAATAAAAAATCCAACAAATGATTAAATTTAAACCGGAAGAAATATTCACAACTTTGGACAACGAGTATCCAAACACAAATATTCTTCACTGAAAAAATTAATCACAAACCAACAAGTAATCACAATTTAAACAAACAAGTAATTGTAATTCAACTTGAAATTAAAATGAATGAACTACGAATAAAAATCACACAAAGGATTAGTAAACGTACCTGGGGCCGGGCACAGCCGGCATCCAAGACCACGCAGGTCAGCAGCGGGGAGCGGGGAGCGGGGAACAAAATAAATCCGGTGGCACTCCGGTACACCAAGGGTGGTTAACGCCAATTTACCTGAGCGGGACTCGAGGTTGGGTTACCCGACTTACCGTAGGCAGCGTGAGCTGCTGTAGAGCGTGGCGGCAGAGCTCCCAGACTGGCGGCAACACCCCTGGACCTCCGGTGACTTCTGGACAGCAGTGGAGGGCGTTGACGCGGCGGCAGGCGGCGGCGTGGCGGCGGCGTGGCGGCGGCAGACCTCTCCCGTCTCTGATACCACTGTAAGTTCCAGCTCAGGTCTCCGATTTCACCCACAAAGGATGAAGAACCACCACTACAGTCTATAAGGGGAAAGGGGCGTCAGCCAACGGGCTATTTTCCGGCCAACTCAACCTAATTCCAAGACCACGCCAAATAGTGTATATTCAGGGGAATGTTTCCTGAATAATTCCAAGACCACGCCAACTCTGATACCAATAGGAGACGCTTAAGCCAAATAGTGAAATCGGAGACCTGAGCTGGAACTTACAGTGTATATGTTTTGTTTTTAATATCAGGGCTATAAAAATATAGTTTTTATAAAAATAATACTCATTTGAATAGAAGGGGTTTATTGGGTTGTGTAACTCGCATTATATTGTAATGTAACACCCATTTTGGAAAATATAAATCAAGTGTAAACATGATGTAACTTGTTAAGAAAAGTTGACATGTAACTCGCGATATAAGATATGTAACTTTAGACAAATTTTTATGTAATCGTATGTATTTTCAAATGTAATTTGAGTCAAATCAAAATATAAATTGTCTAATATTGTTTAATAATTTTTTCAAGATAAATAAACAATCATCAAACAATCATCCGTAACAATCATCAAACAAATTTTTCAAAAAAATTAAACAATCAACCAATCATCAATTCTCCAACAGTGGAGCATAGGAGAAGCTGATGCTAAACCTAAAGTCAGAAGGGATGGGAGAGCATAGTTTCTCAGCCGTAGCATTCTAATCGGTGAATGATGAGGAGCCAGGCCAGAGCTCACGCAGTCACGGTTCTTCTTCTTTCTCGGCCGCAATCACTCTTCTTCTTCCGCGGTAGCTATTCGCTCTCTCACGATATGCTCTTTTTTTACTAATGAAACGGCGTTGTTTTGGAATCGGCACACCATTCTCATGGTGGGCCGATCCCACGGTATAAATTGCCGCTTTTAGGTATATGATGATTGTTTTTTGCAGAAAGTGAAATTACATTTTAGGATCTTAGGTGGAAAATGCTTAGGCGGGAAACATTTCTCTCCCCAGTGTAGTGCTTGTAGGTATATGATGATGATGATGAAATTTTTTAGTGGAAAGTGAAATTACATTTTAGAATTTTATGCGGAGAATGCTTAGGCGGAAAAATTTTCTCTCTCCCGTGTAGTGCTTTTAGGTATAGGATGAAATTACATTTTAGATTTTAGGCGGACAATGCTTAGGCGGGAGAATTTTCTCTCTCCAATGTAGTGCTTTTAGTTATAGGAGGACGATGGTTTTATTTTTGCAGAAAGTGAATTTACATTTTAGATTTTAGGCGGAGAACGCTTAGCCGGTAAAATTTTCTCTCTTTAGTGTAGTGGTTTTAGGTATAGGATAGACAGAGAATGCTTAGGCGGGAGAATTTTCTCTCTCCAGTGTAGTGCTTTTAGGTATAGGATGATTTTTTTTTTTGCGAAAAGTTAAATTACATTTTAGGATTTTAGGCGGAGAATGCTTAGGCGGGAGAATTTTTCTCTCTCCAGTGTAGTGCTTTTAGGTATAGGATGATGATGATGATGAAATTTTTTAGTGGAAAGTGAAATTACATTTTAGAATTTTATGCGGAGAATGCTTAGGCGGAAAAATTTTCTCTCTCCCGTGTAGTGCTTTTAGGTATAGGATGAAATTACATTTTAGATTTTAGGCGGACAATGCTTAGGCGGGAGAATTTTCTCTCTCCAATGTAGTGCTTTTAGTTATAGGAGGACGATGTTTTTATTTTTGCAGAAAGTGAATTTACATTTTAGATTTTAGGCGGAGAACGCTTAGGCGGTAAAATTTTCTCTCTTTAGTGTAGTGGTTTTAGGTATAGGATAGACAGAGAATGCTTAGGCGGGAGAATTTTCTCTCTGTAGTGTAGTGCTTTTAGGTATAGGATGATTGTTTTTTTTTTGCGGAAAGTGAAATTACATTTTTGGATCTTAGGCGGAGAATGCTGAAGCGGAAATATTTTATCTCCCCAGTGTAGTGCTTTTAGGTATATGATCATGATATATTTTTTGTGGAATGTGAAATTACATTCCAGGATTTTAGGTAAAGAATGTTTAGGCGAGAGAACTTTCTCTCTCCAGTGTAGTGCTTTTAAGTATATGATTTTTTTGGGAAATTGAAATTACATTTTAGGATTTTATATGGAGAATACTTAGGCGGGAACATTTTCTCTCCCCGGTGTAGTGCTTGTAGGTATATGATGATGATGATATTTTTTAGTGGAAAGTGAAATTACATTTTAAAATTTTATGCGGAGAATGCTTAGGCGGGAAAATTTTCTCTCCCCCGTGTAGTGCTTTTAGGTATAGGATGAAATTACATTTTAGATTTTAGACGGAGAACGCTTAGGCGGTAGAATTTTCTCTCTCGAGTGCAGTGGTTTTAGGTATAGGATAGACAGAGAATGTTTAGGCGGGAGAATTTTCTCTCTCTAGTGTAGTGGTTTTAGGTATAGGATGATTTTTTTTTTGCGAAAAGTGAAATTACATTTTAGGCGAAAAATGCTTAGTCGAGAGAATTTTTCTCTCTCGAGTGTAGGGCTTTTAGGTATAGGATGATTATTTTTTGCGGAAAGTGAAATTACATTTTAGGATCTTAGGCGGAGAATGCTTAGGCGGGGAAATTTTCTCTCCCCAGTGTAGTTCTTTTAGGTATATGATGATGATGATGATGATATTTTTTGTGGAAAGTGAAATTACATTTCAGGATTTTAGGCAAAGAATGCTTAGGCGGGAGAATTTTCTCTCTCTAGTGTAGTTCTTTTAAGTATATATGGTTTTTTTGGAAAGTGAAATTACATTTTAGGATTTTATACGGAGAATGCTTAGACGAGAAAATTTTCTCTCCCTAGTGTATTGCTTGTAGGTATATGGTGATGATGATGATGATGATGATATTTTTTAGTGGAAAGTGAAATTGCATTTTAGAATTTTATGCGGAGAATGCTTAGGCGGGAAAATTTTCTCTCTCCCGTGTAGTGCTTTTAGGTATAGGATGAAATTACATTTTAAATTTTAGGCGGAGAATGCTTAGACGGGAGAATTTTCTCTCTCCAATGTAGTGCTTTTAGTTATAGGACAATGGTTTTATTTTTGCAGAAAGTGAAATTACATTTTAGATTTTAGGCGGAGAACGCTTAGGCAGTAAAATTTTCTCTCTTCAGGGTAGCGGTTTTAGGTATAGGATAGACAGAGAATGCTTAGGCGGGAGAATTTTCTCTCTCGAGTGTAGTGCTTTTAGGTATAGGATGATTTTTTTTTTTTGCGAAAAGTGAAATTACATTTTAGGATTTTAGGCGGAGAATGCTTAGGCGGGAGATTTTTTCTCTCTCCACTGTAGTGCTTTTAGGTATAAGATGATGATTTTTTTTGCGGAAAGTGAAATTACATTTTAGGATTTTAGGAGGAGAATGCTTAGGTAGTGGTGGACTCGGGCCGGGCCAACCGGCCCGGAACCGGACCGGCCCGCTACTGTGCGGGCCCGGACCGGCCCGGTTTGTCGGTTAGGTCACGGTTCGGGCCATCCGGCCCGGTCATGTAGCGGTTCGGGCCCGGGCTTATAATTTGGTGAACCGGCCCGGCCGGGCCTCAACGGTCACAAAAAAAAAAAAATTAAAATTTGAAGGCTCTACTAGCCGTTGGGAGACCTCCCAAACGGCTCTATAGCCGTTGGGAGCATAGGAGGGGGGGTCTGGGGGGTTAGGGGGGGTGGGGTGGGGTATACAAAAAAAAACCTATTTATACTCCTATTTTCTATACATTTTTTACACCTCTTCTTCTACAACTCTTCCTACTCTCTAAAATCTAAATTCTCTATTCTCTTAATCTCTCATACTCAATCATCTTCATTCTTCATCTTCTCCAAATTCTTTCTACATATATATAATTTATATAATTATTATATCTACTTATATATTATGCATCAATATATAATGAATTTCATGCACAATATGGTAATGCACCCCCTCCCATGCAACGAACATCTTCTTCATCTAAAGGAAAATCACTTTTAAAATCCGCTTTTGGTTCTCTTTTGAAAAAAAGTAGAGCAACTCCCGCTACTGAACAAAGCACAGGTAACGAGCTTTCTTTGTATCTAACATTGAATGTTGATTATGAAGTTGGTGATGACTTTGACGTTCTTAAGTGGTGGAAGGAAAATGAAAGAACATTCCCGATTTTATCAAAGATGGCTAAGCAAGTACTAGCAATGCCGATATCAACCGTTGCCGTGGAACAAGAATTCAGTGCGGCCGGCAACGTCCTAACCGATTTTAGAACGAGGTTGAGCCCGAGCTCTCTTGAGACACTAGTTTGCTTTCACGATTGGTTGAAGGCCCAACGAAGAACTCAAGAAATTACCATCACTCCCTCCCGCCACTTTATGGAGGAAACAACCGAAGGCGGAGAGTCCGATTGATTTTTTATTACGAAATGTATTACATTTTTTAAATTCATCCTAATTCTCAATTGTACTTCTTATTTGAAATAAATATACTTCAATTCGAATATAATATATTGTAATTGTAATAAGATTTATTCTAATTATATAATAATTAAAAAAAAAAATTAAATAGGCCCGGCCCGGCCCGTGAACCGGGCGGGTGACCCGAACCGAACCGGACCCGGGGTTATCCGGGCCGGTTCCGGGCCTGCCTTCCTAGAACCGAGGCCCGGCCGGGCCCAGGCCCGAACCGGGCCCGAACCGGCCCGAGTCCACTCCTATGCTTAGGCGGGAGAATTTTCTCTCACTACTGCAGTGCTTTTAGGTATAGAATGATTGTTTTTTTGCGGAAAGTGAAATTACATTTTTGGATCTTAGGCGGAGAATGTTGAGGCGGAAAAATTTTATCTCCCCAGTGTAGTGCTTTTAGGTATATGATGATGATGATGATGATGATAATATTTTTTTGTAGAATGTGAAATTAAATTTCAGGATTTTAGGTAGAGAATGCTTAGGCGGAAGAATTTTCTCCCTCCAGTGTAGTGCTTTTAAGTATATATATATGATTTTTTTGGGAAAGTGAAATTACATTTTAGGATTTTATACGGAGAATGCTTAGGCGGGAACATTTTCTCTCCTCAGTGTAGTGCTTGTAGATATATGATGATGTTGATGATGATGATATTTTTTAGTGGAAAGTGAAATTACATTTTAGAATTTTATGCGGAGAATGCTTTGGCGGGAAAATTTTCTCTCTCCCGTGTAGTGCTTTTAGGCATAGGATTATGCTGTAGACATTATTATTGTTTGTGAATTTATTTGCCACATGTATCACAATTTGTGATACATGTGGCAAATAAATGAATATGCAGAGAAACATAGATCTTTAATACGGAGTAATTTTAAGGTAACAATCAATTTCTTCCAACTCCTATCAAATCCAAACAAATAATATATCTCACATTTCGCGATTTTTATTATTTCAAAATTGTTACTTAACGTAAATCAAGCTGCCATATCTGGAAAGGTGAACCATTTTGAGACGGTTTACTAGGAATATTTTATGTTTTTCTAGAAAACTAGAAACTAACCTGAAAGAAGAAAAATTGGAAAATGTGTATTAATGCTTTGTAAATGCGTTTAGATATTAAAAAGGAAAACAGAAAACTAAAGTATAGAAAGCAGAAAAAATAAAAACCGGAAAAATAACTAAAGAAGATCTTTGGTTTCTTGTTATACCAGTAGTGTATGCAATTATACATATGTTATTGTTCATTCCATTATTTCCATACTACTGATGATCCAGGTGTCGGTGCTTGCGCTCCTCTAATCCTAGAGTTTATGACTACCCTCCAAAGTCCCTAGACAATTAAATCCGGATTGATCATAGTCAACCTTCGTCGGTACTGGTTCCACAGGAAGAATCCAGGAGGACAACCCGTCAACTGAATCCAGCAAGATCCTCCCACCACACGAACTCGGTAGGCCTGAATTTCAGGATGAATCCTGCAGGACAACCTGTCAACTGAACCCGGCAAGATCCTCCCACCACGCGAACTCGGTAGGCCTGTATTATCATTCCCTCCCTTTTTAGCCGCTGTGTCACTCCGTGAAATTAGAAAAAGTCATTGGGAGCAATATCTCCCTAATCTCTCCTAAATGTGCCTAGACAGTCTAGCGGATTTCGAACCCTAAACCTTAACTAGGCATGATAATCTCTAATCGAGTGAGCCGTAATGCTTGGTTTCAATCCATACTACGGAGTATTATATGACGAGAAAATGACCGGATCAATGACGTTTTGTTCCTATAAAATGACAAACAGTAATTATTAGTCATCGCTATTTTTAATTTCTTTTTATTCTTTTTTAAAAAGTTGATTTTTAGTATCTTATTTCACTTTCCTAATTGATTGACATGTTTTATTTTAGTTTTATGCTTAGAGCATTTGTGAGGATGTCGTCTCATACACACCTTTCTACATAAGTTTAATTTTATATCTCACAATTTTTATTTGTAAGTCCCATATTTTCTAATATATTTTCGAAAAAATTCCACTTTTGGTCCCATGACTATTATACCACTTCCATATTTAGTCTCTTACTTTCAGATTGTTCACATTTAGTCCGTGACCATTGGATTCTCACCATCCATCGTCCATCCGGCCAAAATTCCGGCAAATTTAATGCAGATTTTAGGTATGAAAAAACAAATTTAATGCAAAGATTGATATGAAAAACTCAACCTTATATAAAATTTAATGCAAAGACTGATTCTGAGGCTGATAAGTGGACTCAATTTGCAGGAATTTTGGCCGAAAGGATGAGGGGTGGTGAGGGGATAATGGTCACGGACTAAATGTGGGCAATCTGAATGTAATGGACTAAATGTGGAAGTAGTATAATAGTCATGAGACCAAAAGTGGAATTTTTTCTATATTTTCATTTTAATTTTTATATCACTTTCAACTCTTTTTTCATTTACTTTTCTTTCTCAAATCTCCATTTAATTTGTATACCTTATCATCTACTTCCTCCGTCGTCCCCCTATAATTGTCCCATTTTTTCATTTTTGAATGTCCCTTTATTATTGTCTCATACCATATTTGGTAACATTTGTGTGACTCTAATTTATTCTTACTTTATTTCCACTTTATCAACTCATTATCATTTATCAACTACATAATTCTACTTTTCTTAAAAATCACACCACTCCTTTCCATACTAATATTAGAGGGACGGAGGGAGTACAATTTATTTCTATCTCTCCACTCTTTTTTATAAAAAAGGATGACATCTCATCCCTGAGGGTCCCCAATCCCGACCGAACGGTACGTTGTGAGGACGTAAATTGGTCTATAATCCAGTTCACTCTTTTTTATTTTCCCTACAATGATCATTTTATCTCTGTCCCTCTCGTATATCACCTCAGAATAATTCACTGCCATTCCATCTTAATCTCCAAAGTCGTGGAGGAAGAAATTAATAAAAAAAGTGTGAAGTACTTCGCATTAATTATTAATCATTGTTTGTCAAATACGATAGTAGTAATCATACACGCTCGATATATATACTACGTATAATATTTAAAAGCATTATCCAAAGCCTTAGCTTCCATACACAAAAGACAAAGCTGACTGGTGAGGAGGGCAGTGGGTACTTTTCTTTCATTTCATCTCTCCAGGGATCTATATATTATTTGATTTAATCCCTCTTTTTTTAATGTCAAATCTCATTCAAGAATATAGGGTTTTCTTACAACTTCATTAATTATATATAGTCTTGGAACTATAGAAAAAGGGGGAAATAATTAAATCGATAAACTCCATCCAAAATGGAAGTGGAGAAGGTTGTTTCTGTGCTTTCTCGCACTGGGAGGGATTTGCAGAGGTATAACGTCGATGGCTGTCGCCAAGTAGTTGGGTATGTATGTTCTTCTCTCATTAAACCTTTAGTTATTTTCCTTTTTCTTGGTTTCCCAAAAATGGACTATATAAGGCTTTGGACCACTCCTCCTGTCAGACAACGTTTGACATGATATCAGAGTCAATTCGATTGTGGTTTGATGGTTTGTTTAGCACCCATGATTATGGGTAGCTCGTTAAGGGTCTGTTTGGCCCATTTATACATCCAAATATTATTGTCCAGCTCGGTTGTGGTTTGATTGTATGTTTAACACCCATGATTGTGGGTAGCTTGTTAAGGGTCTGTTTGGCCCATTTATACACCCCAATATTGTACAGCCCGGTTCGGATTAAGGGGGCGTGTTGAAGTATTTGTCCAACACCGAAAAACTATAAAATAATAAAACACTATATAAGGTTTTGGACTACTCCTCAGAATGGAACCCTGGGTTTAACACCCCTCATGTCACAATGTAAGTGGAAAGATAATATTTTAAAGATCTTCTTATTGATGTCCACGCTTTTGGTGTATATACTCATTTACACGCTCTTGATCTCCTACACAACCACTTTTACCTTTTTTAGATGAATTACTTGTGTCTACACACAAAATAGAGGGGGTGTACAAAAATGTGTATAAAAATATGCAGGAACATAACTTTCCATCTCATTGTAACTAATCAGCACTACTAGATGGATTTTAGTTTTTTCTAAGGATTTTTTTAAACATTTTTTTCTAAGGAATTTATTAATTGATTTGAACATATATCATGCAGCTGCATTCCGTACAGATACAGAAAAGAAACCCAATCCAAAGCAATTGATGATTTGGAGTTTCTTCTGGTCAGCTCGCAGAGATGCCCTAGAATGATGTTCCCAAAGGTACAGGAGACAATCTTTTAAGTTGAATTGTATGTTTTTGATGAATGAGTTTATGTTGCAAAGAAATGGGATGTGATTCTGATAGAGATATGGAATGTAGGGTGGTTGGGAAGAAGATGAATCATTGGAAGAAGCAGCTCATAGAGAGACCTTTGAGGAAGCTGGGGTTTGTGGAAATATTGGGGTTAGTATCTTGTCCTTTCCCTCCTCTTTTTTCTCCTTTTTAACTCAAGTATTTTTCCTCATTCCCCTAATTAAAGTTGAATTTATCCTAAATTAAAGATGAGTAAAAATTAAGGGTAATTAATAATCTGTACCAAATCTTGGCTAATCCGTACCACATTATATTTTTAAATGTAACATAATACTAGGTATTTACTTTTTTTTTGTAAAAATTTCCTTAGTCTTACATTTTGAGCCCGTTTGGTGGCCCCTTTTTTCGGTTTATCAGGCTTATCAGTCAGTTTTTTAACAAAACACGTAATTTTTTATTCCACGCGCTGAAGTTTGTAATAAGCAGAAAAAGTAAGGTTGGAGTTACTTTTCTGACTGTTTTGGCTGAAGTTACTGTAGAGGATCATTTTAGCTATTTTTTCATATATTTTTTTTTTATTTAATTTATCGATAACAAATATTTTAAATATAATCTTTTCATGAATCATCAGAATCAGCAAATACTGCCACTTCATCCAAAACTTCATAAATTTCAGTAGAATCAGCCGATTCGACCGATTTATGTGTTACCAAACAGGCTCTTTGACTTCCACAATCCTCATAATAAAGTTTTGACAGTTGATATATATTTAGAATGGCACATAAAATCTATTGTAAATTACGTAATAGCATTTTTTGTAATATGTACTCCGTATATGATTATGTATTCAAAATATTTCCGCGTTATAAATTAATACGGAGTATGATTTTGGATAATTAATATGATTTTGGATAATTAATGGTCCAGATAATAAAATTTGACTAAAAAGTCGAAATGGAACTTAACAACGGGAATATAATATGAAAACCTCACAAACACATAACACATATGCATGTCTCGGAAATTTGCTTTCTTCAACCCGTCTATCTGTCTTATTCTTTTTATTCAATTATTATTAATAATATATATCGTAATAATAATAATAATTGATGCATTGCATGTGGTTAATATATATAATAAATGGAATCGCAGATTTGTCTAGGGTCATGGTACTTTAAGAGCAAAAGCAAAGGCACATTTCATGAAGGGTTCATGCTGCCATTGTTTGTGACCGATGAGATGGACCATTGGCCCGAAGAAAATATGCGCAAACGCCTATGGGTATGTTTCCTTCTTGCGCTGGTTTCATTTTCGACGCCAATGGACCGGGTTTGGATTCATTATACACTAGACTAGGTCCACATCTAATGTACTCGATCATCATCTGCGGCTCTTATTATGTCAATCGGATTGACAGAGGTGAAGCCAGAGCGCTGAGCCGGACTACACTACTACAAAGAATATTTTTGAAAAAAAAATTATACTGAATTTTTTAACTTATAAATATAGATATTTTTAAAATTTGGGCTGGGTCGGGGCCAGGGTTGACCCCTAGCTATGCCCCTGTATACGGAGTATGTTAAATAGAAATTAAATTATCCTAAATAGGAGCAGGGTCGCGCGGTACTGCTCATTGCTGGGCCTATGAGCGGTATGCTATTCCGGGCTTATATCCAAGACAAACCGTAAACCATATACTTATGTGAAATATGAATTATAATAGAAGTATCCAATGAAGTTCATAACATAAAGGTGAGAATCACTTTATTATGATTATTTAAATTATATATTTGGACAAAAGTAACAACATGAGTATCGGATAAAAAGAAAAAAACATTACTAAAAAACGTTTTTCGTAGGACAATGTGAAGCAAATAATCAATAATCGCTTCATAGGCACCTTTCTTTCCACTAATAAATATGACAAACAATAAAATTGCAACATATAACAACACTAAACTTTCTTTTGAAAGTATAAATGAAAAAAAATATTACTCTCTTTCCCGAAAAAAGTTCGCCAAATTGACTTTTCTTTGTCATTGGTAATCAACTTTGACTAATAATATTTTGTAATGCGGAATTATTTTGAATATGAAAATTATATCAAAATGTACCTTATTCAATATATTTTCATAAAAGTATAAAACTTATAAATTATATACAAATATAATAATTAAAATCATTGTTCAAAATTTCTTATCATTGACAAAGAATAGTTAATATGGTGAACCTTTTTGGGACGGAGGTAGTAATACATATTGAATTCATAAGTTGAGAATGATTTATTTACCGTTGATGGGAGTCTAAAGATTAAAGTCTCGAAAGAATGAAGGTTTTCAATAGACAAAATGTTTGACCGCCAAGAAGACTCGCGCAAAAATATTGCCAATTTGATGTCCTCTAAAACTACTTCCTCCGTCCCGTTGGAATGTTCCCGCTTTCCTTTTTTGGATGTCCCGTTGGAAAGTACCCATTTTCCTAAATGGAAAGTTATCCTACATCAAAACAGGGTCAAACAGTGCAAAACAGTGTCAAACAGTATCGAAACAGTGCCAAACAGTGTCGAAACAGTGTCAAAACAGTAAAATTTACCCCTGGTAAGTTTATTTCTTTAATATGTGTGTAGGTCAAACCGGGAACATTCCAACGGAACGGAGTGAGTACTAAATAATTGCGATGAGATTTGAGAGAGATGGACTCTAAAATAATTGTATAAAGGTTTTATGTTATAATTAAAATGAATAAAAAACCTTAAAGACTTTTTATTTTTATTTTAAATTTGGGATATAATATGTACGTACTAGTAATTAAGATCGAATTAGAATGTGCATGTGAGACTGATATTGTTAATCTTTAACCCCATTTTTGTTACTAGAAAAAACTAGTGGACAATAACCGTTTTTAAATACATGCAATTTCGGATAAACACCACATATGAACATTTGTCTACCTTTTAGGATATTTTCTTTTGGACTGCTTTCGGTCTCAAACCAGATCAGATCAGATAAAATCAGATCGGATCAGACTTTCATAGTTATAAAATACACAGATATCAGACGTTTACTAGACCGGACCAGACTAGTTCATATCAGAACAAAAGAAAACAAAATGGATACAGGTGAATCTTAGGAATTCTAGTTTGGTGTAGCCATCCTAATTGCAACATATTAGAATGAATAATGACCGACCTTCTTTAATAAAGATTAAGATAAAATTTAAAAATTGTGATTTTTGGAGTGACCATGATAGATTGATAGCTAGTAACTACTCAGTATAATTTAATTACTGAAGTGATTAATAATAACAGTAGTTACATTTCATTGAAGTCTCGTCTCCATCAGACACATAATATATCAACTATCTCCATCAGACACATAATATATCAACTACTCCCTCTGTCCCCCGTAAAGATGCTCTCACTTTCCTTTTTTGGATGTCCCATAAAGAAGTTCTCATTTCCTTAAATGTCAAGTTAATCTACATCAAAACAGTGCCAAACAGTGTCAAACAGTGTCGTTAAAGTGTCAAACAGTGACAAATTTGATATGAAACAATCTTAGTGGGACGGACCGATAAGGTAAAATGAGATAATTATAGCGGGAGGTAGTATATAAAATCAGGAACTAGTTACACCTCACATTATACCTCACATTTAGGATGGAATCCTACAAATATTAACTCATGTACTTTCCTCCACATGGTTTGTTTGAGTACATCACATGAATTACTTAATTTGCAGGTCTCATATAGAGAAGCAATGGAGTTGTGCTTCCATCCTTGGATGAAAGAAGCTCTGGATTGCTTTATCTCTCAGCTCAACCTGTCCCAAAGAGAAACAACAATGATGAATTCGAACAACACACTATCCATGGAGACACCCAACACAAAAGAAGAAGAAGAAGAAGAAGAGCCAAGAATGTGCCTTTCTTCTTCTACATCTCAAAGCTTGCAAGCAAAGCACGGCGGCGGCGGCGGCGGAATCTTGATATCGGAGGAACGTAGGATTGTTGAAACCTCCAGGACCATGTACTCATTACAGTTGTCGTTGATCACTGAGGTTAAATCCTTGAGCAATATCGCTCTTTGTCTTCAGAGAATGTTTGCAGAGCTTATGAGACTCTTTGACCCGCCATGGCTTGGCCTGGTGGCTCAAGGATTGAAGGTAGCCGGCGAAAGACCGACAAGAACCACAACAACCTCGGATGAACTATCCGACGACCCTACCACGACTGGATCGTTGACCGTTATTAATAATAATAATTATAGTAATAATAATTAAGTAAGGATGGATAGATGTAATGGTATAAGACTATCCCAGTTCGAGCTAATTAATTATGTGCAAAAGCCATAGAGATTAGCCCGGGAATTGTGGATTTGTGCACAAATTTAGATCATTATATTAGTCCGTATACATTAATTAGTGATGGATGTATGCGTGTGTACAAAGTTGTGTAATTTGATAGCTCTCACAATAGTCTCTCTGAATTGAAAATCTCTATCCTAGCTACTATGATGAGTATATGAATTTTCCCTCACTATGAATTATTTTCACAATAAACTTCACATATTGTAATTAGACTACATCTTTAATTTAAGTCTTAGATTTTATATGAGTTATTTATGAAAATTTTTGAAACTATAAACCTCATATATTTTAAATGGACTAAAATTGAAAATATACTACTAACCACTTTCCATGGATTCATTCATTTAAATGAAAATTACTACTAACCGGTATCATAATAAAATCTAAGAAACAATCCATAACATATCTAAGAAATTAAAGTCCCACTCAATCATGTCATAGGTTTTACTCGTGTCACATTTCAGAGCAATAAATCCCTCCCTTCCTTGGATATCTCTTCAAAAAATAATGAATTTCATAATCAATAATTATATTGTCCACTATAGATCCACTTAGGATAAATGCCCTCTTATTCTTAGCAATCATGCCATCTAAGAATTTTTAAGTCGATTAGTCACTACCTTAGCAAAACTCTTACGGGCCACATTCGGTGGCGGATCCAGGAATGAACTTTGTTGGGGGCAAATCGAGTAATTAAAAACTTATGAACAACAAAAATTAATAAAGTGCTATTGTACTTCGTATTATTATAACGGTAACAAAAGTTTAATAAAAACCATCACAATTGCTCCCGTTGAGTTTTCAATTTAATTTTTTGGAAGAGAATCATTAAGTTTTTGTTTAATTTCCACATGCACCAGAAACTTGTGAAAGAATTAAGTTGATGGAGTATATGGACTAAGGACCCCTGACCCACAGATTCCTACTACTCTAACACAGGCCCAACAGGCCCAAGAAGCACAAGAGCCCCAAAGGACAGCCCACGGTGCACATACGGGTGCCTTCAGACAGCTGAGGGAACATACGGGGTGCCTTTGGACAGGCCCCATGGCCGAGGGCTCCTAAATCTCATTGGACAACTGATTTTAGGCATACAACCCTACTGGGAGAAAACGGCGGAAATCAGGAGCCTTCGGCTCATGCACGCCTTCGGCTCATGCACGCCTTCGGCTCATGCACGCCTTCGGCACTTGGGTAGTCTTAGGCTACACAGAGCCCCCGGCCACAAGGGAGCCTTTGGCTACAGCACAAACATCGAAGATTCCATTTGGAGACAAGCAACAGCCGCATTTAATGCGGCGTCACGTTCACCCACTGCATTTAATGCGGTGCACATGCGTATGCTCGTGTCATCCCGATTGAGGTGACCCCTTGGCCGTTAGATTGTTGACACGTGTACTCTCATCGCATTTATTACTACTATAAATAGCAGCCCATTCTCCATTGTAAAGCATCACAAGTAATAACCCCTCGGATAAGCTACCCTCGGGTACACTATCCATCATTTGGTGCTGTCGTTGAGAGTTCGAACAATCAAGTAAGAAACCCTCCCCTTCACCGAACAAGAAAAACACCTACCAAAATGGGAAGAACCACTCGTGCCCAGTCCAAGAACCTCGAGAACAACAACCTGGCCCTCAGCGAGGTCGACGCCCTCGGAGCCTCCAACAGGGCTCCCGAGGGCGGAGTCATCGCCGGGTTGGATCAAGCTGATGTTGACCTGCGCCTTCAGCTCCAGCAAAATGCATCTGATGCCCGCCTCGGCATCGAGGCTCGAAGAAAGGACCAGAGCGAAAATCAAGTGAGCTCTCTGTTCCTCACTATTGACGTGCAATCAGCGTTTTCTGCCTTCATCCAGACGCTCACCCAGAATCCAGGTGCCTTCGGCACTCTGGTGCCACTTCAACCACAGGTCGGGGAAAATGTTGTTCCTCCCCCACCTCTGCCCCCCTTCATAAATCCTATCCTTCGGTTAGGGAATAGCAAAGGGATCGTGGCTCAGGACACCGCTTCCCAGGAAGTCCAGTCCCGGGACCAGCGCGGTGTGAACAAAGATAAGCCCCGGACCTCTGCCCTCGAGAGGTTAGGAGGAGTGCAAGATCGCCGAGGGGTCCAAGACCGCTGAGGGGGTAAGGTGTTCCAAAGACCTCAGGAAAGCGGGGGATCTGTATCGAGGGCAGACGAGAGGCATCCCCCTCCGGACAAAGGCAAGGGACCACTCCATGCCGATGATGCCAGACACTGAATCAACCAAGCTCACTCGGCCCGTGTACAATTACAAGGGTTGGAGGCCCTCCCGAAGGATCACATGGACGAGATTATTGAGGCCCTCCAATGCTGCCTTGATGAAATGGAGGCCCGCCAAGAGCAGTTGACCGCTTCCGCCTCACAGGCGGACCCCAAATACACCACCATGCTGGCCAAAATGGAGGAGATGCAAAGAAAATTTGCCGAGGGCTCCGGGGAACCCATCATCCAACTCCGAACAAGGACGCCATTTACCCCAAGGGTATTGGCGGACCAGATTCCGGGAAAATACCGAGGGCAACCCATCAAGCCCTACGAAGGAAAGACTGACCCCTAGGAGCACTACAGCAGGTACCAGAACAACATGATGATGATGGGGGCATCGGATGAGTATTTGTGTTGCTGGTTCCTTTCCACTTTGGAAGGACCGGCATACGAATGGTTCAACCGGTTTCCCGAGGGCAGCATTGACTCTTGGCAAGAACTAGCCCAACGTTTCTTGACACAGTTCGTGGGAAGGTACCGGTCAAGGAAACCAGGGCCGTCTAATGAATTCGGAGGCCCAGGTTTCAAATATAAAATCAAGGCCCCACATTAATATAAAAAAGTATCAAAAAAATTTCAATCCAAATACATATACTTAAATTAATTGAATACTCATTAATAATGTAATAAAAAATTTCTAAAATTGAATTAATATTTGATTTAAAGCAACACAACTCATTATTCAAGCAATTTGAGTAAAGAAAACTAAAACGAACAACGAAAAAAATGGTGAATCTATATTTTTCTCCCTCACTAACTGTGTTTTACTGATCAATATTAATATATGTAGTATAATATTACGGAGTATTATACTTCGTATAATACTAATAAAATTTTGAAATTTTGGGGCCCCGTAAATTTGGGGGCCCTGTTCTGGATAACTTATTGAACCCCCTAAAAAATGGCCCTGAAGGAAACACTTCTCCCACCTACTAACGGTGAGACAACGGAAGGAGGAAACCCTCTGGGACTTCTTAGAACGCTGGAGGCTGGAGACAGATAAGGTTGACGGCGCTGAAGACGAAACCCTTTTGGCTCTCCTACAGACGGTCCTCCGCCTCGGGAACTTTTCAAGAAGCCTTATCATCGAGCCCCCCCCCCCCTCGCGATTACATAAGGGCCCTACAGCAGGGGGGCCGGTACACAGAGGCCGAAGAAGTAGGAAAATGTCACCAAAACCCCGAGCAGCATCGCCCCAGGCCAGGTGACAGGGACAACCGGGCGCCGGGGGGATTTGTTCCACCAGTCTAAAGGTTCGGCCCCCTCAGGTGATCGCCCCCGGCATGGCCAAGCCAAGTTCGGGGGAGGCTACAAGAATAACCCGAAGGCCTGGGCACAACCAATCCTCCTGGAGCACCCTCGGACACCCCTGACGCATCCATCCCATCAGCGTCATTCTCGACTTCGCCGAGGAGAGGGGCCTCGTGGAGCGAGACTCTCGCACACCCCCGAAGGTATACGCCATCAATCCCAATGAACCTTTCTGTAGTTTTCATCGCCACCAGGGGCATAGAACCGATGACTGCCATCAGCAGAAAGCAACCATCGAAAGGCTGATACAGGCGGGCCATCTGTCCCAATTTGTCAGGGGCCCTCAGCATCAAGGGCCCCCTCGAGCGCCACCGGCAAAGGCAAACGCCTGGATCCATCCAAACACCATCCCCTCGGTGATCCGAATGGCAAGAAGAGGGAGATCGGGAACCTTGATGAAGAAGAAGGATACAACCAGTGCCAAGAAAAAGAAACGCCACATCCACATGATCACTAGTGGCAACACGGGGGGAGACTCCACAAGCCAAAGGAAGTAATGGGCGCAATCCCTTTACGTAGGGGAAATCACTCATATGCCCCCCCGTAAAGTGGTTGAGAGAGGAGCCCATAGTATTTTCCAACGCCGATCCCCCTGGCTTCCTCTCCTTACAGGGATGCGCTAGTGATCCAGAGCGAGATCAATAATACCATCATCCACAGAACTTACGTTGACACGGGCAGCTCCGTCAACGTAATGTACCTTAGCACATTTAAGGAGCTGCTTCGGGAGAGGGAGTCCCTCTGGCCCATCCGGGCCCCTCTGTCTGGCTTCACCGGAGACACCATAGATTCCGAGGGGGTAATAACCCTCCTGGTACTCTTCGGCGACGGGCTCCATAGAGCCAAGCTCGAAGTGGAGTTCGTCGTCGTCAACATCGACTGCGCTCACAACATTATCCTCGGCCGACCTGCCCTCGAGGACCTGGAGGCAATCATCTCCATGAGGCACCTGTGCCTTAAGTTCCCAGCTGAAGGGGGCATCAGGTACTCAAGGGGGAGCCAAAAAGCTCGCACGCGCATGCTACCTTCAAATAACGAAGAATATTAGTAAGGCCGAGTTCCGTGTGGACACCATCACCGGAACAGCGGAAGAGGAGGAGAAGAGGCCGAGGGCAGAGCCAACTGAGGAGGTAGAAGACTTCGCTCTCGATCCGTCCAAGCCGGAGAGAGTCGTGAAGATTGGAGCCAAGCTCCCCGAAGAATTGAAGACCGGAATCACGGATGTCCTCCGCGCCTACTCCATTGCTTTTGCATGGGGGCCGGAAGACATGCCGGGAATTAGCCGAAGGGTAATCACTCACCGCCTGGCGGTGGACCCTTCATCCAAACTTGTGAAACAAAAAAGAAGACCCCTCTCGGCCAAGAGAAGGGATTTCGTAAAGAAGGAGGTCACTATGCTCCTATCCATCCGACACATCCGGGAGGTAAAATACCCTTCATGGCTGGCTAACGTGGTCCTCGCGCAAAAGCCACCCACTTTCCGCATGTGTGTGGATTACACCGATTTGAATAAGGCATGTCCTATGGATCCTTTTCCTCTGCCAAACATTGATCAACTGGTAGATGAGACAGCGGGTTGTGAAATTATGTCCTTCCTCGATGCCTTCCGCGGGAGAAGACAAC